ATAAATTTTAAATATTCATGGTATTTTTATAATACCTTATATTTATAAGAAAAGAATATAATAAAAGAAGCTATTGTTTTTAACTATCACCCTATTCAGTTAAGAAAAATCACCTAACACCTAATTTTCCTTTCTACACTCCACCTTTTGGATTTCTCAAAGCCAATACTTCCATATCTAATGAAAAGAATATTTTAAATAAATTATTCTCATGATTAATCTTTCCCCATAAATCAAAGGTATAGTACCAATGAGTTTCTAACATAGCATTTAGCACTCAGCTTGAATATTTTTAATATATTGATTTTTATCTCTTGGCTTCTTGAGGAATGCAGTTTCTTCTGCTTTAACTACGTATTAACTACCTTAATGACTCTGTGATCCTGCTAACATCCAATGTGAAGTCTGTCATTATAAGACAGGAATATTGAATGGTAAATTAGGGGATGGAGGGTACTCACTGCAAGGCCCTGGTTCATTTGCCACCATTGCAAAAACAAAAAAGTTCTCATTAAATAAAACTTTAGAATAAGTTATTTGCTGTAAAACACTTTACTTCCTCTTTATTTGGACTACTGAAGAACAAAATAAAACTTCTACTTGTGGAGAACAAAATAAAAGGTCTACCTGGACAGACCTGTCTTCCTAACAAGCATGGGCCTGTATGAATAAGGCTGCTTCTGCAGCCAGCTTTAGGTCAGTAACTTGAAAATCAAAAGTAGATTGTATGTCCAGTATAAAAGAGAGAAAAGGAGATGTAAGACAGCATATAGATTAGCCCATCAAAAATAGTATGAGGTTTCAAATGAACTGGTTTTTTCATCTTTAAAATAGGATAATAATACTAGCACAGTCTATTTCATAGGGTTCCAAGTTGTCTTTAAAAAGTAAGATATTATATTTAAATGGGCTTCTTAAAATACTAACATTGACGATATTGTTTCTATGAAAATGAAGGAGTACACCTTGATAGCCTTTCCTTAAGGCTTTCACCTGTCTGAAGCCCTCTTGTTATTCAAACTTATTTCCTTTCTTGAGCAGTCATGTCTCCAGTCCTTTGCCAGACAACATTTCTTAGGTTTTCTTCTCCAAATGTCTCCAATAAAGCCAAAAACAGCTGGTGCTGTCAGGCATGAGAAAAGATATTCTCAGGAAAATGAAATTTTTGATGAAGGATCCTCAGGTGAAGCTTTTGCATTCATACCCTAAAGGGCATTGTAGACTTTATCAGATTATTGATGTTGTCTAGGGATCCAAAGACTCTGATTTGAGAAGTCTTTAGTTGGGATTGGAAAATTGGCTGTCATTTCCTTTGGAACTATTACTTGTTCAAAATTGTTTGCTAGTCTTACAAGTTCTTTCTTCCTCCCTATGTTTCATTCTTTCTGGCCAAAAGCCTTTGAGATTTTCTAGCAGAGAGCAATCAAAACTATCAGCACAAAGATCTGTTGGAAACTTTCCCTCTGGTCTATTAATGTAGACACTGTTTCAAAGAGTATATTTTGGAAAAACAATACCTTGAGAGAATTCAACCTGCTTGAGAAAAGGTTTCAGATGCCCTGGGGGCATAGGTTTCCTCCTGAAAATGGGGTATCTGTGCTGCTCAGGGGTTTTTCTCCTGAGCTAACACTATTCTCCTTTCTATTTTAAAGGGCCCTCAAATTCAGTAAAAAATATCTCTCTTCAGAGTAGAAATGGCACAAGATGATTTCAGGAATGGGGAATGGAAGTTGGCTCTGTGCCCAGTATAAGCACAACATTGCAATGAAACCAAAGTCTGAAACAGTCACTGGGTGCTTACCTTTAACTTATCACACATATCTGCAATGTTGGAAGTGGACCAAAGGCTATGGAATCCTTGCTCTGCAGAGTCCTTTATGCAAGTCAAAGGGCTCAGCTCTAAACATGGGGAGAAAAAGAAATTGGAAAAAAAATATACTTGTAATTAGAGCTAAAAATAGACCTACATACAAAGAAATAGTGAAAAAGGCCAAGAAAACAATATGCTAATTCTACAAAACAATAGAAAAGTACATAAATTTCTGGTAAAACTGACAATGAAAAAAAGCAAAGAAAGAAATAAGACTATGAATATGGAAATTCTAATTACAGTTTTAGTAGAATTTTTTTACTGTGAACATTTAAAATGTTGATACTTTTAATAAGAAATAAATTGGGGGCCAGGGATTTAGCTCAGTAGTTCCCCCGCCTGCCTCACAAGCACAAGGTCCTGATTTCGATCTCCAGTACCAAAAAAATTTAAAAATAAATTATAAAATATACTGATTCATAAATAAAGAGCATGTATACATTTAAAACTATTAAATAATTTTAACTGTTTTTTTCTTTTGTTTTGGGTTTTTTTGCAGTATTTCACTCTACTACTGAACAATTATATCCTGAGCCTTTTTCAAAATTTTATTTTGAAGTTGCCCAGGCTAGCTTTGAAATAGCAATCCTCCTTCCTCAGCCTTCCAAGTAGCTAGTGTTTTCCACCATACTCAGCCATCTGAATTCTTATTTCTAAATTCACCCACAAAAAAGATCAAATTTTTGATAAGCATGATTCACCAAGTCATAGTAGACAGAAACCTCTATTCAAAGTTTCAAAGAACATAAAAAGAAGAAAAGTACTCCAATAATTTTCAGCTAATAAAATCCAGATACCAAAATCAAAAAAGGCACAAAAAAGAAAATAATAGATCAGTCTCATAAAGAATAAGATTGTAATTCTACATAAAATATTATCAAACACTTTTTTCAAAGCGTTTTAACAAAATATATCATAAGTACTTTGTTGTACACAATTAATATAAGGAGAGTTTAATATTAGAAAATACAAAGTAATTCACCACTCTTTTTTTTATCCTAGCAAAAAGGAATAGGAAAGTTTCCTGAACATAATAAAGAGTTTGTTGCTACCAACAAACTAATTCTAAAAGCATTCTTCTTCATGTCAATTCATTAAATATTTTCTTCTTAAAGAAAGCAAAAATGCAAAGTTTTTTTCATATATACTCAACACTGTATTGAAGCTCCTTGCTAACATAATAAGACAAGAAAAAATTAGATGGATTTAGGGTTAGAAAACAAGAAAAATATGATTTATGGATGATATAGTTACTTACTTGAGAAATTCAAAGCAAGTTGAATTAGTATATCTAATAGAATTTAGCAACATTGTAAGTACAAGATTAATATGTGAAAAAGACACACTATTAAAGATAATTTAAAAGGTCTTACTTGTAATAATAACACATCTACTTTAAACATGGACCAAAGTTAATTAAAAGATATAGTTGTCTATATGAAGATTTTTAGTATTATTAAAATACATTTTTAAAACCTAGATATACTGTTTTGTGGGTGAAAAAAACTCCATTTACAAAATGCAATCTATTCAGAATTTCAGTTAGATTCTTCACAGACTCTAACAAGATGGTTCTAAGTCCATATAAATAATGAAATCTGTTCAAAATTGCAGTAAGTTCCTTCATAGATATTGATAAGGTGGTTTTAAAATTTATGTGGGAATGTAAAAGGTCAAGAACACCAACAGCATCCTTGACACATGAAATTAGTACAGTAACTGATAAATAATGTGACAAAAGAGAATAGAAAGTTTAGAAATAGAACTGCATATAAATGATCAATAAGTCCATGCAAACTAATTCATAAAGGATATTCTGTTTAATAAATAATGCTGAGAAAATAGGCACTTCATATAGAGGGGAAATATCAGATCCCTACCTCATACCATCTTTTAAAATGTTAAAGAATTAAATTAAACTTACAAAGTGAAACTTCCAT